TGAGCAGCTAAAGCACACTACCCGGGGCTCTATCGCAAAGTACTATAAGGTCTGGCAACCATTTCTGTCCTACTTTGAGAACGAATTCTCTGACATTAAAACAACTTAGCCAACCCTCCTCCCCCCCCCCCTTTTGTTTTTATTTATTTATCTTTACATTTTTACTCTTGGTTATTTAACCATGTAGATTTTAATTTAATAGTTTATGTTTATTTTTTCTATACCTATTTTGTATCTCTTCTGGATGTCAATTGATATTTTCTATACTTTCTGTTTGTGCTGTATTTGAGTGTTGAGCGCTGCTGTTTGTTATATGTGGAAAATCAATAAAAAATATTTGAATAATAATGTTTGAAATTCCTACCTAACCTGACCTGTTTGATTTTCATTCCAGATCTAGTATATGTTCTGCACCGTTTGCTTTTTCTTAGCATACTTTTTGCATTAAATTCATTTGCAAATCCTTCCGATTGATTGTTGTAGATGACACATTAAGACTGACAAACTACCGTGATAACATCGGGTTCAGTGCAGAAACAATACTCACCATGTACACACTACACAGTGTTTTACGTCAGAAATGTTTTTCTTTTAAATACTTTTGGAGGAAAATAAACACTGACATGATGATATGATATAAATAAAACCCTAATGCATGGTTTTTACATTAGAGACCATATGATTAGCACAGTAGATGCATAAACCCATTTGTAAAATACAAATCGATGACATCAATTCATTACTTTTGACGTTGCTTGCGCATTTTACCTTGTGAGAGTTGAGCCTTTTTATTTGGATCGGTCACTTCCTGTTTGTCGTCGGATGATGAAACCTCTTGATCCGATGTAGCCTCAGTTTCTTCTTCCTTGTCTCCTGATAAAAAAAATGGTCAATTTAAACTACATTGTAAATGTTTTGTAAATATACTATTCCATTATAACTGATATTCGGACTTTGTCATTTGGTGTGTATGTACCTTCTGTGTGTTTCTCTGCCATGTCTGTGGGTGGAGGCTCTCCACTCAAAGGTTGGTTCAATGCTGCAAGACAGAACAGTGTATACAGCACTTGTTTTTATTATGCCAATGCCTTAACAGGTTTATCGGTTTTGTTCACATCCTTCTCACATGTTCAAAGTCTCAAGGTATGTAGTTAAACTGTCAAAAGGGAGCGTCTAAGGGCAGTCACTTTTTATAACATTCAAATCTTCCCTTGTTATCAGTTTGGCTCCATAACATATCAGGCTTCCAATTGGAAAAAAGCTGTTAGCACTTGAACAAAGAATTAACCTACTGTTAAAACTCAAAGTTGAAAACATTGAAAAGTCTCTTTTGAGTGCCCCGGGGTTTACTGAATCACATCTGGGGGGTTCATTTAAACTGAATTTGTTGTGTGCTAGAAGACACTGTAAGCAAACCGATAATAGTTGTTAATAGGGCAGCTAGCAAAACTTGCTCAACAGTAATGAAGCTAATGGAATATATGTACGAATATTCAAATGTAAACTGTTGATAGTCAATTAAAGAGTTTACTGTGGAAATCAAACAGGAATTGGGAAATTATGTAAATTAAACACTGATAATAAACTAGAGTTGTTAGTCTCTAGGTTTGTAGCTGCGGGTAATGAAGCTGAATCTTGTTAGGTGAGACAGACACAAGTTAGTCCAGAGGATGCAGGGACATATTTGGTAAATACATATTACATGATTAGATTATTGTTGACCTTGCTTGTATATCTTACCTTTTGAGATATTCTGCTTTTCATCAGGATCCCTCTCCGGTTTGCAGTTACATGGTAAAACATCAGGATCCAATATAGACTGTTTCTTCTTCCTTTTCTTCTGATCAAAACAAATCAATGATGAACAAGGTCTGTATAAAATAGGTAATAACCTGCCCAGGGACTACACATGTACATTAGCTCAAAAGGTAACTCAGGTGCATTGGTACACAGTGTGCACTCTCCCTAGTCAATTAATGAATAACACACAAAGCTTCCGATAAGATGAGACAGCACATACAAACACAACAAATTTACTTTTGAAACTTGAAAAAACGAAATATCTGTTTCGAGTTCACCAGGAGTTGCTAAATAATATCTGGTGGCTAATTGCTACTGAAATTGCTTTAAAACTACCGACATGTTTACGTTAAAATATAGTTAGCTAGTTAGCATCAATGCTAGCAGCTTAGCTTGAAACACAAATAGAAACCTTTACGTATGAATATTTAAAAAAACGTCAACCCTTGAGTACTCTAGCTAGCTAAAGAGTCAACTGACAGAGAGATGCTGGCTTATGTGGTTTACAAAACAGTTAGCAACATGATACGTGGATATAGCTGCCGTCGTGTAACTTAAATTATCAACATATATGTCTAATAGTTTAATCTAATTACTCATTCTAAAAAAACGTACCTGTGATCACATCTGTCCAGCAAATGCTTCCTTGGAAAGCATCCAACCGGATAGTGTATACACTGTAGCCATACTTGTCAACCCTCCCGATTTTTGCGGGAGACTCCCGATTTCATTGCTCTCTCCCGGTTTCCTCCCGGGGTCATAGTTCTCCCGCATTTCTCCCGATTTCTGACAAAATCCGATTTACTCAGGACTGTTTCCACTCGGACTTTAATACAGCCACACCATTGTTTGGTTTCCATGGTAACACGTCTCTTTAGTAGCGCGCGCAACTGAACGTCTGAGAGGGTGAGGCAGATAGTCATAGGAAACAGAACAAAAATCGACAACTACTCTGCTCTCTGCTCACTCCTTTCCTGCCCACACATATGCTCCATCAAGGATGGTGCTCCAGGCCGCAAGGCATTGCACTTATAACTACAATAAGCATGTTAATGTTAATCTAACAGCTCCGGCGATCCACTAGCACCCCCCCGACAAAATATTCTGTGGACAGATGAAACCAAAGTTGAGTTGTTTGGAAGGAACACACAAC